CGTCTTTCGTTAACTGAAGCGAAGAGGCCTTTCGGGCGAACCGTGCACTAGTAACTTTAAAGTTCACTTTTGGTCTTTTTAGTAATAAAACGTCCTGTCAACTAACTAATAGCTTTCATCGTCCCTATTAAGAGCATGAAAATATATATTTCTCCATCATTCCAGCAGATAAGTATAAAATGGAAATTATCCTAAAATGAGTCACGAAATCAATTCGAGGACAGAAGTTCAAACCGACTGGACAGAACGTCGAGTCACAGAATCTGTACCTGTTAGAATACAGGCATCTTCGAGATTCTTCTAATGACTACTAGCATTATAAAAAGTCTTAGGGATCTTTAGTTGTGCGTCGAATCGAAAATGACTATGATTCTGAGCCAATCACAGAGAAGAATTATTCAATAGTAAAGAATATATTTGCTGGAGATTACGTGGTATCGAAAGAATACCAAAATCGTGCCAGAAAGAGGCGCGAAATTACCGAGACGGTTGAGGCAAAATGGCAGTAACACAAACAGAAAGCTTGTACATACGGAAGCAGTAATAAACAAGGAGGTTCATTAAAACAATCACTGGTACAATGACTTATAATAATTAGTGTTTCTGTTGCACCAGTCGTGTTCTATTCATAAAAACAGTTTTACTACAGATCTCTCGAAATAATTACTTAAACTGAATCTCAGTCCCCGGAACTCGGTGCTCGAAGTTGTAAAATGGGGTGAGGGCAAACCTGCTCTCTACGAGTAGTCGAATTTCATGACTGATTGACGAGATGGTACAAGCGACTTTCCTGGAGCCCTTTAGGAATAAACCCGAAATATTCCTTCGGACTCATGGCAACGTTTTATTATTTTTTACTAACGATTCCCTTTTATGCGTTGATCATACCTAGGTTCCTACACGAAGGCATCGCTGATCTTTTGCTACTAGATAAAGAAGCCCGTAAGGTAAAAGCATCTTCTACTTGTGACTGAGGTGACCATGATCGCCTCAATGAACAGCTTCAAGAAGAGACTTGACAAACACGTTCTCATTCAATAATTATCATCTCCGTCTTGCACCGACTGTGACTGATGCAAGTCTCGAAACTTGCTGGTTGCTAATACTGTCGTTTTCTTAGGTAGCTAACTCACTCTATCTCGCTTATTACCTCTCTTCTTCGCCTATACTCCTGTTCTCTGGCACAATCTTTACAACCAATCAACCAACTTATTCAAGAATTTTCATAGTTCTGAAATCTTCCTCTTCTTATTGGCATTAGAATAGTCATTTTATAATTCTCCATATTGCAACTAACTGATTTCCTCTATGGAAATTTGATAGAAAATGACATCCAGAAACCCTGCTGCTGTGAGACAAACGCACTCACATAAATGACGAGAAATACAAAATCTTAAATGACTTCCGAATGTATTAGTGCAATCGAGTGGCTAAACAACCATGTATTGGACATTACCCGATACCTGGAACCGCACCGAAAGAACAAGAACCGAGCGCAAAGAGATCAGTTGATTTGTATTAGCTAGCGAAGAGGATATCGGACATTGGAACAGTAAATCAAGGTAGACTAACGCGCCCTGTACGAGTTTGGACGTAACCCTTATTTTTCTGCCTAGTAGTTTTAGTTGCCAAATTGTCCTAATAGCACACTTGGGTGTTGCTAACACTTACTGATTACCTTTATTATTCATTGCATCATATGCGCCCGCCGATTTATCAGTTCATCCTTTATTTTTTACCAGATACCTCACGGGCGCTGTATTCCATGCTTCCGTAGCACCCAAAAAGTCTTCATGTTGAACGTGAACCTCTAAGACTGTTATTTTAACGATCTTAAAATTCCTTCAACTTCTGGCTTGCTTAACCTTAATGACAGTATCGTTTGTGTCTCAAAATATTCCACCCTAACGATAATTTCGTTTTTCCCACGTCTCTGTCATGTTAGTGTCGATGGTCCAAAAGTTTCTCTTTAAATTTTGTGCCGAGTAAGGTCCTTTTGAAGTGATTGCTGTCATACAAGCTGCAAACCTTTTAAAACTGAACTAAATAAGATGTGGCTTAGAGGATACCTGTTGAGAAACGTCGTCTTTAAATTTAAAAAGAGCTAGTAACAGACCCCCCCCTACGAAATTCTATGGCCTAAACGTGAGTGACACTGACCTTAAATAGCTTTAATTTAGGCATAACCTAAACAATTTTATTTGTGTTGAACGAGTACCTCTAAGCCTGGACTTGTTGACAATAAACATATGATAGAGCTTATCAAAAGCGGTTATATGTTCCAGGCTTTTACTTTTTAAAACGATGCTATGGTTCACTGAGTAAACTAAGAGGTTATCGAAATTGAGGCCTCTCCTTAGTGTGATTTTCCTCACTAATATATTTTTTTCAAAACGAGGACAATTAACACATTAGGATAGCGTCAATTCAGTTTATTTCGCACTTTTTCGACATCTGTTGACAACCTAAACAATATTAATCATTAAAAACCAGTGAACATACTTAATATCGGAATATCGGAAAAGTTCTTATCAGTGAAGATTAATCAAGAACATTAAGTATGGAGGGACTGTAGGAAGTAGTATTTATACGTTCGATAATGTTAATATGTAGCTAAGAACATATTTATTTAGAAATAAAATACCAATGTTATAGTCATGTAACTCTTAAGACACAATTGACTAAGTACGGCTCTGACATGAAAGAATAACTAATAGTTGGTCACCGTTCATGCTTTAATCAAATCTCAGTATGGTTGACTAAACCATGTCCGGACCAAAAGGTGTATCCATCCTTAGATACTACAGTTTCTGGCACACCAGTTTAGTACCCAAGTTCCCTTCCGTGATTCATGTCGCACCACAGTTCAAAGCCTCTTTGATATGAGTTATGGACGATAGCTAAAGTATGTGAAAGTGCTGCTCTGCGGGAGCGCTTTCACAATTCTGTTGTTGACTGGACCGTTGGTACCTAATAATTGAGAGATGCTAACTCTGGCTTGTAGACTAATGTCCAGTAAACTGTGCGTCCTTTCTGTTCTATATCCTTCTATTCATGTTATTTCCACGACATTAAAATTCCTAAGCCTAAATTTCAATTTTCTAGTAAAATTGCAACCGTTCGAACCCTCCAAAGTCGTTTTATTAAATTAATTATCCACTTCCGTTTTACAAAAATATAAACTGCGGTATAAATTTTTAAAAATTAATTTCTAGTATAAGCAGCATGTGCTTCTTTTTTTTACCAATTTTTCAGAAATACTACTCTTGCTACATAAACCAACTAACAAACCCCAATGTATTATGAATCCTGAATGCCGAAAACCTGTCTTATTATGGGGTGTTCTTGGTGGGTTCTCTATTGGAGCTATCGATTTTCTACGAACAAGTATAAAATGAAGAATCTTTTTTACATTTTCATTACATTATTAGGTAACCTTCGTCGTGGTGTGCAGATTGGTTTAGGATCGATAATATTTATATCTACATCTACTAAGTAAATCGTTACCTACCTAACATAATGTTACCCAGTCTAATATGTCATCATATGAAGTTCAAACGTAACCAGAAAACCCGGATGTCATATTTTGTTTTTAAGAAGCAATTGGATAAAGAACTAGCAGAGAAGTTTTCTTAATGACAACAAAACATATACTGAGAAGCCTGTAACTGATTGTAGACTTATCTATGTACAAAAATACTTCAAATAATATATCTCTTATTCAAAAATGTGTTCTAGCTTGTATATGACGGCGGGATGGTTTTTTTGTGCCGTTTATCGGAAAGTGATACCTTGGTATGGTCGAGAGTGGGGACAGCCCACTCTCCCTGATATCGCCACGCATTTATAGCAACTGCCAGGGAAGTATTACACACTCTTCTGGTGGCAGAGTATTGTCTACAAAATTAAGAAGACAAAAACCAAGTGTCTAGCCGAGGCTTAAAACAGGTTGGTGGGCACGAAGCATCCACCTAGGAGAGTTGGGCGTCAGGACAGTATACCAACTCTTTCGTGATTAGCTCGTCTAGACAATCGTTACTAAATGGCGTCTGACGACGGTTTATAAATCAGAAAGTGAACTCGTAGTGATGAATACGTTTACTTGGGACACAGTCAGTCTGTTAGATGCAACGTAGAACTTCGTACGTAAGTACATCAGTTCACGTTGCCATACCACATTACCACAGTGATGTAATTGTCAATTCAAATCCAAATAGTAGAAGAGGTAGTAAAGGTATTAGAAGTAATCGGAGAGGTTAGGATAGATGATATTATTCAAGAAATACGATTCAGTAAGAAAAGTTTAGAAAGTCAAAACTAGAGGTGTTGAAGAATCCAGAAGATTAGGATTTGAGAGAACACAAAGAATAAATGCACCAGCGCCATTGCGAACGATTTTGAGCCATGCTGTCATTCAAGGTCTCTAACCATCGATTATTATAATCTCGCAGATCCCAACCAGGTAGTCGACAACTACCGACATGGCTCAGTCCACTTGTCAATGACTTCATGGATTTGTGCCATGTTTTTTTTGGCCGCTCCTAGCTTTCTTCCAACCTACTCCTATACCAGTCGGTGGTTAGGCATACGCAACACATGTCCCAACCACCTCAACTGATGAAGTTTCATTACTTCATCTATTGATCTGCCATTCTTACCAAGCACTCGTTTCCTAATAACAGCGTTGCTCACTATGGGATATGCACACTTTTATAATGTTGACACATTGTGAATTAAATAAGATAGCCGCCTTATTTTGTACATCTGACAACTTTTTCACACTATACTCGAAGAATATTCAACATGATTGACACCCAGTTATGTAACGCAACACGGGATGAATAGATACACATAGTCATTTTGAGTAGGATGAATCGATATTCAACCTCACCATAGAAGAAAATGTATGCCCCCCTTGTAATATAAATCAAATCTTTCATGTATAAGACTGAATTAAAATTGTGATTTAATCGTTACAAAGTTAACATTTTGACATTCTTATCGAATAAAAAGTACAATTAAAGAGAAAAAAGATAGAATGAGACCACTACTCCTAATCATAGTTAATTGATCTTTGAACACCAATGTTAGTCAACAACAACAACAAAAAAAAACACAAGAATTTATTATTGAACGCATTTTTGTTTTAATATAATACCAAAAATTATCCATTGGACAAACAAACAAATAAGATTTTCTTTTTTACTTCAAATTAATAACACAATCCACATAGATTCATGGTATGTATGGATAGATGATGATGGATAGCACTGCTGGATATTGAGGTATAGCTGAAATCAGTTGATCAGTCACAACAACTTACTGACTGAACTGAATTACTACTACTAGTTGAAAGCTTTAATTATTTGAAGGTCTGAAATAATAATAATAACAACAGTAGATTGATAGCAATGATAATATGGACTAGAAGTAGACATATATTACTGAATTGACATTGTTTAAAACAAGAAAATATTGAACTTTTATTGATACAATAATGAGATTAAGGTGAAAATTTTCATTATCAAACAACACTATTTTAGACACACTTCAGTGAACATTGCTGCTGATGAAACGTAACAGAAGAAAAATTCATGGTATTTCAACTGTTAGTTTAGAAGAAAACAGTCACAACAATTATAAACATCGTGGGTGACGAAATAAATATTATACCTTTTAGGAAATGTGGAAGAACTATTCCTACATGAAGAATAAGCTATCATGGGAATAAACATTTTTGATTGGTATCATGAAAATTGTGGTGTCATAGAGTGGATAATACGTACAGTTAACAAATTAAATCTGTTAGGATTCTATTATATTATTGTATACTAATTGAATTGCCCGGTCATAGCTGCTACCTTGTCGTGGAGGTAAGACTTGCCTATTATGGTCACTCAACCTAGCTATGTTAGCTACAACACATGTTCATTTAGGTTCTACCATGCCAGGCAAGTCGACTGGAGAGCGGTAAGACTAAAAGCAGCAACTGAAGGTTTGAGTGCGAAGTCGTACTGTTCACTTTAGAGAGGTGTGACAGCAACAGTAAGGTGTTTGCCTCGGACAATGAGCATCTGCAGCAATGTTGCCTTCTCACAAGGAAGGAGGGGTTTAGATAAGGTCGACCATCAAAATGTCACACCTCACAGATTAACATCTCCAGCGATAAGGTCTTTCAAAGAACTGAACTAACAGGTTAAGATCTTATAAAAAGGCCGTACATGACCAGTCCCAAGCAGTTGCCGCTTGGGCGCTGTAGTCACTTTCCCAGGTCGCTCTGACCAACCCTAATCCAATTCCCATTTCAGGTCCTTCAAGAAGCACCCACGGTGTGGGCAGCCGGGAAGTGACATCCGCCCTTATATCCGCCGTAACAAAACATGAGACCAAATGGAATTATCATACTACACTAAATTGGGGAAATACTAAACACAAGACAGATACAATGCAGAACTTCGTACGTAAGTACAAAAGTTCAGGTTGCCATGCCCCAATCAGCACAGAGACGTAACTGCCAGTTCAAATCCAAGAGTGATAGCGATAGTAGAAGTATTAGCAGCAATGGAGAAGATTAGGGAGCGAAGATATGATTTGAAAAGTATAATAAAGTGAGATAAAGTAAGAAAGAGAAAGATAGAAATGATGAGGAATTCAGAAGGTTAGAATTAAAAAGCACACAAAGAGTGGATGCACCTGCGCCATTGCAAACAATTTTGAGCCATGTCATTCAAGGTCTATAACCATCGATTATTATCATCTCGCGGACCCCCAACCAGGTAGTCGACAACTACCAACATGACTCAGTCCACTCGTGAATGGCTTCATGGATTTCTGCCATGTTTTGGTTTGGCCGCCCCTAACTTTCTTCCAACCTGTTCATACACTACAAAACAAAGCTCGACGACGCATTCGGTGGTTAGTCATACGCAACACATGTCCCAACCACCTCAACTGATGAAGTGTCACTACTGCGTCCATTGATCTGCCATTCTTACCTAGCACCCGATTCCTAATAACAGCGTTGCCTATGATTTTTCTGATTGGTTGATATATTGCGTCTCTACCACGATGACGATATCAGTTACGGACATATACGTGGTATCTGAAACGAAAACAGTTGACTATACTACCTAACAAAATCCTTAGTGTTGTCTAGAGGAATAACAGTAGACTGAAAAAACGCTAAGGGTTATTGACCAACTGACTGACCTAAGCCGTTCCCATAATTGCAGACGTCATAACAATCCCAATCCAGTGATAGAGAGGAATTACACGACACAGCTTAAAAAATCACTGAAGCGATTGTATTTATTCTCTTGTAAACACTGATTAATTTTATGACAATCTTTTGCAACATCTTGTCTTTTGAACCATTTTTTTAATGTGTTTAGTTTACCACCACGAAAGCTTAAACTACTATTTTATGATGCGATGCTAAACGTCATGAGCTAGGTGGATATACATTTTTGAAGTAAAGAAGAAGCATAGTTCATAAACAACAGTCAATCAGTCAGCTGCAACTTAGAACTTCGTATGTAAGTACATCAGTTCAAAGTGCCATACCACATTAGCACAGAGACGCCACTGTCAATTCAATTCTCATAGTGGTAGAGAGATAGTAGAAGTACTACTGGTAATGGAGAAGTTTAGGGTTCCAAGATATTATTGAAGAAGTATAATTCGGTAAGATAAGTTTAGAAAGACAAAGGTAGAGGTATTGACCAATCCAGAAGATTAGAATTTGGGAAAACACAAAGAGTGGATGCACTTGCGCCATTGCAAACGATTTTGAGCCATGTCATTCAAGGTATCTAACCATCGGTGACTGTTGTCCGGCGGACCCCAACCAGGTAGCCTACATCTACCAATATGACTCAGTCCACTTGTTGAACTGTATTATCTTTTTTGGAAATAATGAAGCCAACTGACTCGACAGAGATACAGGCATTACTGAAATTATTCATCTGATACTATCATTGCAAAAAATGAAGTGGGGGGAAACAAATGACCATTAGGAAGGAAAATATAGTCTGTTAACATTTCAAATTATATACCTAGCAATGATTGAACTTACTTTGCCCAATCCACTTTTAAAACAACATGATTATGTCTAAGACCATTGACACCATAAATTGCACTTTTTGCTTCTTCTGGACTTCGAAATGATATAAATGCGAATCCCTGTAAGAAAAACAAAACAAACAAATTTAAACAAATAATTGAGAAAAGAAAACATTTTATTCGCTTGTAAAATCGCTAATCAACCAATCAATCAATCAATAGCAACGTAGAACTTCGTACGTACGTACCTCAGTTCATGTTCCCATACCACTTTAGCACAGAGATGTAATTGTCAATTCAAACCCAACAGTATAAGAGGTAGTAAAGGTATTAGCAGTAGTCAGAGAGGTTAAGATTATAAGATATTATTCAAGAAGTAGAATCTATTGAAATAAGACTTGAAAAGATAAAGACAAAGTGATGAGGAATTAGAAAGTTTAAGATTTGAGAGAACACAAAGAATAAATGCATCGGCGCCATTGCAAACGGTTTCGACCCATGTCATTCAGGGTACCTAACCATCGATTATTATCATCTCGCGGACCCCAACCAGTTAGTCAACAATTACCGACATGGCTAAGTCCAACTGTCAATTACTTCATGGATTGCTGCCATGTTTTCGTCTGGCCGCCCATAACTTTCTTCCAACCTACTCCTACACTACAACACATAGCTCGTCGATGGTTAGGCATACGCAGCACATGTCCCAACGGATATCTCGCCTGCGCCATAAGTGACGCAAGTTGGCAAAAGCCAATCGAGCTTTCTGTATTCATGCTGAGATTTCGTCAGTCACCAGGCCATCAGCACTGATGAGACTTCCCAGATAAGTGAAGCTTCGGAAAATTGCAAATAATCATGTGTTTTTCTGTAACGAGTCAATCAGAGTTGTGGCTTAAAATCAATCTTTATTTATGCTTCCTCTTCTATGAACACGACATTGTAGTCCTCGTGCCACCATGGTAACAAATTGTTTATTGTTCAATATTGATGTTAAGTCAATTAGTCAGCAACAACGTACAACTTCCCACGCACGTACATCAAGTTCAAGTTGTCATATCAAATTTGCGCACGGACCACATTGTCAATCCCATAGTGGTAGAGGTAGCAGAAGTATTAGCATTAATGAAGAAAATTAGGATTTGAAGATATTATTCAAGAAGTATAATTCAGTGAAATAAATTTAAAAAGAGAAAGATGGAGGTGATGAGGAATTCAGAACATTAAATTTCAGAGAACACATAGATTGGATGCACCTGCACAGTTGCAAACGATTTTGAGCCATTTCGTTCAAGGTCTCTAACCATCGGTGACTATCATCTCGCGGAGCCCAACCAGGTAGTCTGCACCTACTAACATGGTTCAGCCCACTTGTCAATGACTTCATGGATTTGTGCCATGTTTTGGTTTGGCTGCTACCTTGACGTAGTGGTCGGGCTTGACCATCGTGATCACTCAACCGAGCTGTATTGGCTGCAACTTATATTTCTGTAGTTTCTACCATGACAGGCAGGTCGATTGGAGAACGATCAGACTAAAAGCAACTACTTAAGGTCTGAAGGCAAAGTCGTACTGCTCACTGTAGAGGAGTTCGACGGCAGTAAGGTGATTCTCTCGGACAACCATCATCTGCAGCGATGCTGCATTCTGACAAGGAAGGAAAGGGGTTAGAAAAGGTCTACCTTAAAAATGTCACACCTCACCTTACCTCACGGATTTCCGTCTCCAGCGGTAAGACCCTTTGAAAAGAACGGAGCTAACGCTTGAAAAGCTTCTCATAATCCACAAGACAATGAGGCAACGTCAGGGGATGTAGTCCCGTGGTAGCTCGTCACCAACAATAAGCTCATACGCCTTTAGTCCCGTCAGTATTTAGGTATCGACGTGAACTATTGGTTTGGAATCAGGGTTTCGCAACTCCCATAGGTGGATGCTTCATGCCCACTAACCCAATCTAAGCTTCCACCAGACAACTGATTCTCATTCTCTCAATTTAGTAAAAAAACACTCCACCACGAGATAAAAGTGAGTAGGACTTCCCTGGCAGTAGCTACATAAGCGTGACCATATGACAGCATTCAGAGAAGGAGAGAAGCCATATCAGGACTTTTGGGGACTTTTAAAAAAAAACTCTACATCTATGCACATGTAAATGAAATAACCGATTTACGTTTCTCATTCTTATCTGGGATACTGTCTTGACGCCCAGACCGACATCGGGTGGTTTTCTTAAAGGACCACTCTCCGAACCTTTGACCTAAAAGTATAATCCACAAGACAGTGAGGCAACATCAAGGGATACAGTCCTATGGTTGCCCGTCACCAACAATAAGCTCATAAAGCCGTTAGTCCTGTCAGGATCCAGGTGCCGGCGGATTTTTGTTGTATACAACACTCCGCCACGAGAGTGAGTGAGTGAGTAGGACTTCCTTGGTAGTTGTTATACATGCGTGGCCATATAAGAGCATCTGGAAAGAAAGAGAGAGAGTGCGGACTATCCTCACTCTCGGTCATATCAGGATAATTGGGGGCTTTTTAAAAGAACTCTACATCTATGCACATGTAAATGAAATAACCCATTTATGTTTCTCATTCTTATCTTACTAAACAATGATGCATAATACAAACAGAGTTAATGACACACTAGTTGAGTTCTATGGTAAATATATATATATATATATATATATATATATATATATATAACATTCACAAGAGAAATTCCGATCATTGATTTATCTTCGCAAATTACAAAAATATTTTTTTTTTAAAAAAAAATATAAACTAAATTGACTTACTCTATTTTGTTGTGTTAATTTATCTTTTGCTGGATAAATACGTACAACATGACCAAATGCACTAAATACTGATTTCAATTCATCCGCTGTTGTATCCGGTGGTAAATTAGTAACACGTACAGTATTCTCATCAAATGGACGTTTATCTGTGGACATACTAGATCCTGTAGTGTTCGTTGCATCACCACGTAATGATGGTGGAACATAACGTCCAGAACGATCAGGTTGCTAATGGGGAACAAAAGATCTTTAATCAGTTCGGTTATGAAAGTGGGTTTTTGTTTTTTAAAGTACAAGTTGGTAACAGTTAAGCAACAATGGACAATACAGATCGCTTCATAAAAAAATCGAATTTATAAGTCACAAAACACGATAATGTTGAACACCTTACAAATATTTTCGAACTAAAAGTTGTTTCGTTTACTGAGCTGGATTTTTTTGGTTGTGGAGCTTTCACTATTGTTATTCTGAACAATATCATCAGCATAAACTTCAGACAGACAAATAGATAGATACCACTGAGCTAAACATTTTCTCCACCATCTCAAACTAAAAGTTTTAACACTGAAAAGTTAAGCTTTTACTTCTTGCCCAATGTGATGTTGTCTGTTAGCCAAAAACACTATGATTTTTTAATATACGACCCTACATACAAACACCTTAGACACAGTGAGGACATACAATCACCCCTCTCCATTGTTTCATTCAAACATTGGGGTTAGATAGGGATGCCCAATATCATCGTTCCTTTTCAAATTTGGCACCGATGATATCCTGGAATCAACTCCGATGTCTGTTAGCGACGGTGATGTAGATATATCATCTGGAGAAAGACTTTTCCAATTTCAGTATGCGGATGAGATTGTCTTTCTGTGCAATGATACACAAGCCATGCGATCTACACTTAATCAGTTGATAATCAGTGTCCATATGTATGGCATGTGGTTTTTACTTTCCAAGTGCAAAGTACTTCTACTAAACTTGCAGGGCCCTGAACCTGCACTCACTCCTGACAATGAGCAGAAAATAGTAGTCAACAGATTTAGGTAGATGGGTAGGTGCTTGTGGTAGCATGAGTGATGAGATCGATTCACGTATAGTGAAAGCAAGAGAGGCTTATGTTCTGGCGCCTTCGTAATGTTAATCTGGCTGTAAAAGGTCGTTGAATAGTTTTTCCTTGTGTTTGTGATACCCGACCTCTCCAAGTTGAAGAAGTTAGACTATTCTTTGTATTCCATCGCCACTACCTCCGAAGGATTGCTGACATTCAGTGGTAACACTGTGTTAGTACTGAATAAGTTTGGTAGCGTGTTTGGGTACAGCAACGATAATTCAATAAACTCCCCATCGTGCATTATTTGACAACGCTGGGACTGATTTAAAAGAACGGACAGGTAGTCACTGTATGAAATGGTATTGTGGAATGAAAATAAACCTGTACAGGTCTTTCATGATTCCCTGGTTGGAGCTCAGAGACGGTGAAACTCGGCGGCTTTAGATGTTATCAGACATGGCAGCCTACTTGAATATTTGGGCTACCTGTTTCCTAACATCAAAATATTTTACCAAGTTACCGTTTTTTGTTTGTTTTTTTAACACGTTAATTGTATCTTAATACATTTTCTTAAGCTGTTATTCACTAACAATATTACTACTCAGAAGAAATATCTTGTCAGCTAGAGAAATCACTTATCTTAAATTTCATCTATTCGTGTTAATGCTCTTAGAAGAACATGATTTGATATACATTTGTTCCAGGATTTATACTGATTATAATTAACTGTAGAATCTAGAGAAAGAATAACCGTTTTTAAATAAAATTGTATTCATCATACGGAACATTAATGATATTTTCGTTATAGGGTGGTGAAGATTGTTGAGTTTCATTGGATTCATGAATCGAGCCAATGTAGAACTACCAGTAGAAACCTGGAAGCGCCAGACGGCTGTTTTGTCGAAGTATGGGACTCCTTAGCAGTTCGCATCCCCAATCCACAGCAGCAATCGAACCCAGGACCTTTGGTCTCATGTGCGAACGCTTAGCGTCGTGACCAATGAGTGGGTGCACGAGACCAAAAGTCCTAAGTTTGATTCCCCCCTGCAGAAGTGGTGGATGTGTAATGCTGATGAGTCCTATACTAGCATGAAACGGCCGTCCAGTGCTGCCAGATTTCTAATGGTGGTCTAACATTGACTCGATTCATAATTCATATGAAACATTAAGGTAATGCAGTGACGTTCGGTTTACAGTTTAAAACACCTCTTCGTTATACTAACAACAATCATTTTTATGTGCGAGCATATATTTTCTACTCACATTATATGAATAAAACCTAACTGAAAATTTTGGAATATTCACTTCAGGATTACATAATATGTTTGGCCAACATTAACCAGTTAAATCCAGAGAGCACTGAACAGCTTTTTATTTCTTTCTTGCATGAAACTCTTCAGTAATTCACAATAAAGACCTAGTTAAGGACTGTAACTTGGACCCTTACAACCAACATGTTACATCGGTGATATCTAATGGTTGAAGTTTTGAACATCTCAATTATTTCGTGATACTATGATAAACGTCATATTTGACTATCAATGAACATGACCCATCTTTATTCTGGATATGGTTGAATCTCACCAATCATGGTTTATCAGTAGAACTTCGGTGATTCTTGTTGAGTACTTACTTACGCCTGTTAACCCCAATGGAGCATAGTCCGCCGACCAGCATTCTCCAACCTACTCTGTCCTGGGCTTTCCTCACTAGCTCTGTCCAACTGTTGTTTACTTTTCTTATGTCTGTCTCCATTTCTCAGCGTAATGTGTTCCTTGGTCTTGAGGATTCCTAGTGAGATGGATAATATTTAACTATCGATGAGATTACTCATCTCCTTTTGAATATGGTTGAATCCGACCAATCATAGCTTATCAGTATAAATTTGCTGATTCTTGTCAAGTTGCAATTACTAACGAGTACAGTACTACACTTATCATTATTAGTTTTACTGTTGTTTGAGAAAACGAAAGTATTTGTGAAGATGATTCCAAGTCACTGAATAATGATGATGATGATGTGACGTGACGTGACGTGAACTATCTTACAATTTGAAAAAAAAATAGTCTCCAAGAGTTTAGTGTTCTTTTTTTTCTATCATATTCATATAAGTAGTATATAACTTAAAACAAAAAAAATTAACTTTCACTTACTAAATCTTTAACTGTTTCTTCTGTCGGTTCGGTTTTAGCACGTAATTGTTCTTGTAACAATTGCATTGCTTCCATATCACTTTTATATGGGCAAGTACGAGTGAAATGTCCACCTTTACAATAATTACAAACAACTACAGGTTCGCCTATTTTGATTTTGACATTCATTTCTTCTTGACGTTTTTGTTCTTGTTCAGGCTGTGAAAAAAAGAGGAGAAGAGGATAAAATACATGAGTGTAATATATAATATATAATATACATATATATATATATATAATATATATATATATATATATATATATATATATATATATATATATATATATATATATATATATAATATATAACTGAATTCACGAAAATATTTGAGATGATAGGCGTATAAATTGCATTGGGTTTCGTTTTTTCTTTCGTGGTAGACTTTTTAAGTATTCTCTACACTAGACAAAGTCAGTCAGTCAGTCAGATGCAACGTAGAACTTCGTACGTAAGTAAAGTACATCAGTTCATGTTGCCATACAACATCAGCAAAGAGATATAATTGTCAATTCAAATCCAATAGTAGAAGAGATAATAAAGGTATTAGGAGTAATTGGAGAGGCTAGGATTAGAAGATATCATTCATGAAGTATGATTCAGTGAGGAAAGTTCAGACAGTCAAAATTAGAGGGGTTGAAGAATCCAGAAGATTAGGATTTGAGAGAACACAGAGAATAAATGCACCGGCGCCATTGCGAACGATTTTGAGCCATGTCATTCAAGGTCTCTAACCATCGATTATTATCATCTCGCGGATCCCAACCAGGTAGTCGACAATTACCGACACGGCTAAGTCCACTCGTCAATGATTTTATGGATTTCTGCCATGTTTTGGTTTCGCCGCTCCTAACTTTCTTCCAACCTATTCATACACTACACAACAAAGCTCGTCGAGGCAGTCGGTGGTTAGGCATACGCAACACATGTTCCAACCACCTCAACTGATGAAGTTTCATTACTTCGTCTATTGATCTGCCATTCTTACCTAGTACCCGATTCCTAACAACAGCGTTGCTCACTCGGGTGTCCCACGATATACGAGCAATGCTTCGAAGACGCCTATGATCGAAAACCAGTAATCTACGAATATCTTCTACTCTCATTGACCATGCTTAACAGCCATAAAGTAAGATGGAGCGAACTACTGCGCAGTACACTCGTCCTTTAGTCAGCAAACGGATATCTCGTCTACGCCATAAGTGACGCAGGCTGGCAAAAGCCAATCTAGCCTTCTGTATCCGTGCTGAGATTTCGTCAGTCACCAGGCCATCGGCACTGATGAGACTTTCCAGATAAGTGAAGCTTCGGAAAATTACAAGTAATCATTTGTTTTTCTGTAACAAGTCAATCAGAATTGTACTATAAAAATCAATCTTTCTTTATTCTTCCGTCCTCTTTGAATGCAACATTGTAGTCCCTGTGACACCATGGTAACGAATTGTTTATTGTTCAATATTAACGTTCAGTCAGTTTGTCAGCAACAATGTAAAACTTGGTACGTACGTACATCAGATTCACATTTCTATACCATATTAGCAAACACAGAGATCGAACGTGATGAGGAATAGAAAAGATTAGAAGTTCAGAGAACACATAATGTGGATGCACTTGCGCCATTGCAAATGATGAGACTCCCAAGATAAGTGAAGCGGTCTACACGAACCACCGACTGCCTCGACGAGCTATGTTTTGCAGTGTAGGAGTAGGTCGGAAGAAAGCTAGGGGCCGTCAAACCAAAACATGACAGAAATCCACGAAGTCATTGACAAGTGGACTGAGCCATGTTGGTAGATGCAGGCTATCTGGTTTGGGTCCGCGAGACGAAAGTCACCGATGGTTAGAAACCTTGAACGACATGGTTCAAAATCATTTTGAATGATACGGGTGCATCCACTCTTTGTGTTTTCTCAACTGCTAATCTTCTGAATTCCTCATCATCTCCATCTTTCTTCTTTGAAATTTATCTCACTGAATTATACTTCTCAAATCATATCTTCGAACACTAATCTTCTATATTACTGCTAATACTTCTACTATCTCCGCCACTATGTGATTTGAACTGACAGTGGCGTCTCTGCGCTAATGAGGTATGGCAACCCGAACCGATGCACGTACGAAGTTCTACGTTGTAATTGACTGACTTTTGTAGAATTGTTTGTTTGTTTTTCTCATTCAGTCAGTCAGATGCAACGTAGAACTTCGTACGTAAGTAAATCAGTTCATGTAGCCATACCACATCAGCTCAGAGATATAATTGTCAATTCAAATCCAATAGTAGAAGTGGTAGTAAAGGTATTGTTTTATAATTTAATGTAATGATGAAAATGTACACTTAAACCATACATAATCTTCAAACAATTAATTGTTAATTATCTAGTAACTGCACAAATTTTATGCATACAACACCCTTTACCTGAAACCAACTAGACTAGTTTTAGATGTGTGAATGTGTCAACCAGCGATTTGCTCTGTTTGTCATGATTAAGAACAAAGTTATGTCTTTTGTGGCCCGACAGTAGTTGTATTCCTTAACTTTAGAGCAATGTTAGACTCTGGTGACCTAGAGCTTCCAAGGCAATCTTTCATTACATGGTATATCATAGAAATACACTGATCTGGTACAAACCTTATACTCAAACATTACTGATCGATCTCTAGTAGTGTTGGTCAAGTCAGCAGTCCACTGTCTCTGCTCTTATTTAACTTCATCAGAGACATGCCTTTCTAAACAACACTCTTATCGTGTAACTTTTAAGAGATCGATCGCATACCAGGAAATAAACTTACTGACTTACAATATACAAGTAACATAGTCGTTTTTGGTGAAGATGCTGACAAGATGCAGTCTTTTGATTACTTTAAGTAATAATGCCAACATATTTGGGATGCAATTCTATCTAAGTACAATCCCGGTATACATCAAAGCCTGAATTAATGGTACAGAATGAAGTAGTTGAGCATATCGACTACTTAACCTATCTTTCAAGTTTCATCAGTCCTAGTGGACTGATCTCTGACAAAATTTCAGTACGGACTCAGATAACTCGGTTAGTTTTCATCAACGTAGAAAGGTGGAAGAAGGCTAAGAACGGCCAAACTAAAACGTGACATCAATCCATGAAGTCACTGAATGTCGAACTCGGCTATGTCAGTAAACGGGGATTACTTGGTTGGGATCTACAAACAATAGCTATAGACTTTGGGTGACATCGCTTAGAATCTTCTACAATGGCACACATGCACTCACTTTTTATCTTCTCTTAATTGCTTAATCTCTTCGTCTCCACAAACCTTTTTTTCCTGCACCCGATCTCTTATACTACTGCTGAAAGTTTTACTGTGGTATCTACCTTGATAAGTTCATTTCACTTCACTGTTCGTGCAGTACAGCGACATTTATAAAACAGTAAACGAAAATAAAATGACAAGATAAAAATATACACACATACTTGTCTTGATTGAACAATTTGCATTGTAACTATATCAGCCGGATAAGTATTTGCTAAATGTCCACCAGGTGGATCCGACTTTGAAGCACCGAATTTTTTCCATTTCTTTCTATCGGCTACTCGTGAAGCAACAACACGTTTTTCTTTCTGGTATTCTTTCGTTTCTTTAATTAAATCACCATCGTCATTGAAGAAATATCGTATGACAGTTCGTATATTACGTTGTGGATCGAATTTCTCTTCAATAGCAGGCAATTCTGAATCTTCATTTAATTCTTCTGTCCAACTGAAATGCAGGTGAGTGTGATAAGCAGAAATTAAAATGAATGAACTAATCAATATCATTGTTTCGTCAATTTTTTTATTACTCTACTAACCCAACAAAAATATCTTTCAAAATTATTTGGATGATAAAATTATTATGCTAAGAAAAGAGTACAAATCAATAACTTGCACATTCGAAAGGCAATTGTAACATTCAACGCTGCAAAACTTGCATTGACTTTCTCCAGTCGACCTGCGATGTCTACTCAAACGAAAGATAAGTTACCTGAGCTGGCCTCCTCTATGTGCATTTACAAATTCAGCTGCTCCTGTGGAGATAGCTATATCGGGCGTACTTCCAGGCAACTTAACCAACGAATGAGTGAACATCTCCCAGCATGGTTTACGAAGGCTCAGTCAAAAACAATACGCAGTTCTATCTTAGCACACCTGGTAGATAGTGGTCACATTGTAGATAAATCTAGATCTTTTCGGGTGATCTATCGTATACCTCCATCATTTCCCAAAGGAGTTCGATCCCGTCTCCTACACATTGCAGAAGCCATAGGAATACGCACATTCAACCCTAATTTATGTGTTCAGAAGAAATTCGTGACACCCCTATCTCTTCCATGGCCGGATATGACGTAACTAACGATTGACATATTTTTATTATTTTTTGATTTTTTTTTTGATTTTATTTTATTTTTACACATTTGCTTATTACGTAATGTTTTTGATGTTTTTGATGATTATTTGAATTCTATTCATCCACCCTTGACCTACTTTAGTTATCTTATTTCATAAATTTTCTTACTACTATCAGTACACCTGTTTTCCTATTATCCACTTGAACTTTTGCCTATTAGATGTAGTTACGTAATCTTTTTCATTTCATTGTGATTATCACTCAAATTGCCTTGATTGGTTTGACATTTTCATATAAATATTCATGTATATTAGAGTAAAGCCTGATGACGATCCAATCGAAAACAATATTGTTCGCTTATATGTGTTGTTCTAATTGTAATATAACTTTTCAAATATGAGCTCTGAATGCTTCTAACTTTGCACAATCAGTAAACTTATTCGATACTTCTCGAATGATATCACTGATTCTTATTGTTTTCGATTATCACTAATACTACAAACAATTAGGAATCGAGTACTAGGTAGGAATGGCAGACCAACAGATGAAGTATTGAAACTTCATCAGTTGAGGTGGTTAGGATGTGTTACGTATGCATAACCACCGACTGTCCCCCGAGCTGTTTTGCGTTGTACGAATAGGTTAGAAGAAATCTAGGGGTGCCCAAACCAATACATGGTACAAATCCATGAAGTCACTGACAAGTGGACTGAGTCATCTTGGTAGATGTAGGCTATCTGGTTGGGGTCCGCGAGACAAAAGTCACCAATGGTTAGAGACCTTGAACGATATGGTTCAAAATCGTTTGCAACTGCGCAGGTGCATTTACTCTTTGTTAGCTGACATTCTGAATTCGTCACCTCTATCTTTCTTTTTATAAATTTATTTCACTGAATATACTTCTGGAATAATAATATCTTCGAATCCTAATCTCCATTACCAGTAACTTCTACTATCTCTACCACTATGGGATTTGGGCTGACAATTGCGTCTCTGTGTTAGTGTAGTATGACAGACAGACAGACAGACAGATACAATCCAGAACTTCGTACATAAGTACATCAGTTCAGGTTGCCATACCACGTCAGCACAGAGACGCAAATGTCAGTTCAAATCCAAGAGTGATAGTGATAGCAGAAGTATTAGCAGTAATCGAGAAGATTAGTGTTCGAAGATATGATTCGAGAAGTATAATTCAGTAAGATAAATTTAGAAGGAGAAAGATAGAGACTATGAGGAATTCAGAAGGTTAGAATTAAAAAACACACAACGAATGGATGCACCTGCACCAGTGAAAACGATTCTGAGCCATGCCATTCAAGGTCTCTAACCATCGGTGACTGTCGTCTCGCGGACCCCAACCAGATAGCCTACATCTACCAACATGACTCAGTCCACCTGTCAGTGACTTCATGGATTTGTGCCGTGTTTTGATCTGGCCGCCCCAACCTACTCCTACACCACAAAACATAGCTCGTCGCGGCAGTTAGTGGTTAGGCATACGTAACACATGTCCCAACCACCTCAACTGATGGTCAGTCAGTCAGTCAGATGCAACGTAGAACTTCGTACGTAAGTACATCAGTTCATGTTGCCATACCACATCCGCACAGAGATGTAATTGTCAATTCAAATCCAATAGTAGAAGAGGTAGTTAAGGTATTAGAAGTAATCCGAGAGGTTAGGGTTAGAAGATATTATTCAAGAAGTATGATTCAGTGAGAAAAGTTTAGAAAGACAAAACTAGAGGGGTTGAAGAATCCACAAGATTAGGATTTGAGAGAACACAAAGAATAAATGCACCGGCGCCATTGCGAACGATTTTGAGCCATGTCATTCAAGGTCTCTAACCATCGATTATTATCATCTCGCGGACCCCAACCAGGTAGTTGACAATTGCCGACACCCGACCGAAGCTGCTACCTTGACGTGGTGGTCGGGCTTGCCTATCGTGATGACCCAACCGAGCTATACTGGCTGGAACATATGTTCCTGCAGGTCCTACCATGCCAGGCTGGTCGATTGGAGAACGATGAGACTAAAAGCAGCTATCCAAGGTCTGAGGGCGAAGTCGTACTGCTGACTGCAGAGGGGTGTGACAGCAGTAAGGTGTTTCCCTCGGACAACCAGCATCTGCAGCGATGCTGCCTTCTCACAAGGAAGGAAGGGTTAGAAAAGGTCGACCCTAAAAATGTCACACTCCCCCTAACTCACGGATTTCCGTCTCCTTGGGTAAGGGTACCCGTTAAGGGCCTTTAAGAACGGAGCTAATCCTCAAAAAACGTTTTATAAAAAGGCCGTGCGTGACCGGCCTCAAGCAGTTGTCCCTTGGGCTCTGCGGTCACGCACCAACACTAATCTATCTTCCTTTTCAGGTCCCTCAAGAAACAACCTTCCACGGTGTGGGCAGCCGGGAAGTGACAACCGCCCTCATACCCGTACCAGCACGCGAGACCAAATTGGTCAAAATCAAATCCTTCCTACACCCCCTCATGTCTCTCTTATCTGTACGACTAACTGTACTCACACTCCCTTTTCTCACTGCACCGCTAATGCAGACGAAGCGAGATCACGAAAGGTCGTTCCTGGTCTCTTGAAACCCCGTTCTAGACTACATATTGGAGCTTTTAATGTACGGACATTGTGTCAAATAGGGCAACAGGCATCATTAGCTAGGACTTTAGAAACTCGTGCCATCGATGTATGCTGCGTCTCGGAAACGCGCATACAGGATCCTAGTAAAGTCATTAACCTGATTCCACCTTGTCAAAACGAAGAAGCAGCTCGATTTACTCTTCGGGTATCCGGTAGCCCCGATGCTGCTTCCAGGGGTCTTGCTGGCGTAGGCATAGCGTTGAGTCCTAGGGCAGAATTATCTCTCCTAGACTGGATCCCAATAGATAGTCGTTTGTGCGCTGTCCGACTAAACGGGACAGTAAGGACTCGTAAGGATAGGGACACTCGCCGTTGCCTCTTCGTCATATCTGCCTATGCCCCCACTGACTGCAGTGCAGACGAGGTTAAAGATGAGTTTTACAGAAAGCTTTCGGACCTCCTCCAAAAAGCTAAGCGCTCTGACATAGTAATAATGGCTGGTGACTTTAATGCTCAAGTAGGTAGACTAGGTGAAAAGGAAAGACATCTTGGTGGATGTTATGGTGTAGCGACTGAGAGAACAGACAATGGCGACCGTCTGTTGCAACTATGCTCAGATAACCGCCTATTCTTAGCGAACACCAACTTTAGGCATAAGGAGAAGCATCTGTTGACCTGGCGACCTCCAAAGTCGTCTCAACGTTGGACTCAACTAGATCACATCGCCATCAGCCACCGATGGAGGGGTTCGATAGAAGACTGTCGCTCGTTCTGGAGCACATGTTTGGATTCAGATCATGCTCTAGTGCGAGCTCGTATCTGTTTAAGGCTTACTGGACGTAGGAAAGACACCGTAAGAAAGCCTCTCAGGGTTTTACTTAATGATAATCAAACCAAGAAAATATTTCAGGAGCAACTAGAAAGAGAGTTAAGCAACCATGCAAGCGATTCCCATCCAGAAGCAGGTTGGTATGATATCAAAAAGGCTGTGGAAACAGCAGTGATATCTGCTAGGAAGGTAAACCATGAGGCTAGGGTGAAGCCGTGGATTTCAGTCGCATCCACCGAACTGATGGATGCTCGAAAACGCATCCCACCTGACTCTGAGCATGATGAAGAGCGTAGTCAGCTTAGGCGCAGACTTATAAAAAGTCTGCGTAACGACCGTGAACAGTGGTGGGTGGCGAAAGCAAAAGCGATGGAAAAGGCAGCGGCGATAGGCAACACTAGGCAACTTTTCAGCCTTATTAAAGAAACCGGTATTAAGAACCCGAATGTGAGTGAGACTATCTCGGAAAAGGATGGTCTTATTATCCATTCTCAATCCAGGAGACTGGATCGATGGGCAGAACACTTTAGGGATCAGTTCAACTGGCCACGAGCCACTCTTCGGTTACCCACGATCTCCAGTCATCCTGAATGGCGAATCGACGTAAGTCCCCCTAGTCTTAATGACGTTGAGAAAGCGTTAGGAAATCTGAAACAAGGACGAGCTGCAGGTCCTGATAGACTGACCCCTGAGATATTTAAGGATGGTGGTCCAGTTTTAGCAGCTAGGTTGACTGAGATCTTAGGTAGAATCTGGGAACTGGACGTAATCCCATCCGACTGGTCTCAATCCTTGATTGTCCCAATCTATAAGAAAGGACAGAAGTCTTCTTGTGACAATCACAGGGGAATAAGTCTAACTAATATAGTATCGAAAATGTTGGCCTCAATAATACTTCGACGTTTAACGAAAGCTCGTGAAGAGCAGACTCGAGAAAACCAGGCTGGTTTTCGACGTGGACGTGGCTGTATAGACCACATTTTCACACTACGACAGGTCCTGGAACATAGACATACATTTAGGCGTCCTACAATAGTTGTTTTCCTAGACCTTAAGGCGGCATTTGACTCTGTTGATCGTAAGGTTCTGTGGCAGTGTCTGTCATTGAAAGGTGTACCACAGAAGCACATTAACCTTATACAAGCTCTTTACTCGAACACCACTGGTCGGGTGAGGGCTTATGGCGAACTGTCACCGGAATTCTCTACATCAAGTGGTGTCCGTCAGGGATGTCCACTTTCTCCATTCTTGTTTAATTTTATCATAGACATGCTCCTAGAGTTAACATTATCCTCGTCTGAATTTTCAGAAGTAGACCTTCTACCAGGTGGCTCGCTTATTGACTTAGAATATGCCGATGACATTGTCCTACTTGGTGAAGATGCTGACAAAATGCAGAGTCTTCTGACTACCCTAAGCAACAATGCAAGCATGTTCGGGATGCGGTTTTCCCCCTCGAAATGCAAAATGTTGCTTCAAGACTGGGTTGCATCGCCACCTGAACTAGTGATAGGGAGTGAAGTAGTCGAACGTGTAGATCACTTCACTTATCTGGGGAGTCTCATCAGTGCCGATGGCCTGGTGACTGACGAAATCTCAGCACGGATACAGAAGGCTCGATTGGCTTTTGCCAACCTGCGTCACTTATGGCGTAGGCGAGATATCCGTTTGCTGACTAAAGGACGAGTGTACTGCGCAGTAGTTCGCTCCGTCTTACTTTATGGCTGTGAAACATGGCCAGTGAGAGTAGAAGATATTCGTAGGTTACTGGTTTTCGATCATAGGTGTCTTCGAAGCATTGCTCGTATATCGTGGGACACCCGAGTGAGCAACGCTGTTATTAGGAAACGGGTGCTAGGTAAGAATGGCAGATCAATCGATGAAGTATTGAAACTTCACCAGTTGAGGTGGTTGGGACACGTGTTGCGTATGCCCAACCACCGACTGCCTCGTCGAGCCTTGTTTTGTAGTGTGGGAAAGGTTGGAAGAAAGTTAGGGGAGGCCAAACCAAAACATGGCAGAAATCCGTGAAGTCATTGACGAGTGGACTGAGCCATGTCGGTAATTGTCGACTACCTGGTTGGGGTCCGCGAGATGATAATAATCGATGGTTAGAGACCTTGAATGACATGGCTCAGAATCGTTCGCAATGGCGCCGGTGCATTTATTCTCTGTGTTCTCTCAAATGCTAATCTTCTGGATTCTTCAACCCCTCTAGTTTCGACTCTCTAAACTTTTCTCACTGAATCATACTTCTTGAATAGTATCTTCTAATCCTAACCTCTCCGATTATTTCTAATTCCCTTACTACCTCTTCTACTATTGGATTTGAATTGACGATTACTTCTCTGTGCTGATGTGGTATGGCAACATGAACTGATGTACTTATGTACAAAGTTCTACGTTGCATCTGACTGACTGACTGACTGACAATTGCCGACATGACTCAGTCCACTTGTCAATGACTTCATGAATTTCTGCTATGTTTTGGTCTGGCTGCCCCTAGCTTTCTTCCAACCTACTACTACACTACAAAACAAAGCTCTTCGAGGCAGTCGGTGGTTGGGTATACCTCAACTGATGAAGTTTCACCACTTCGTCGATTGATCTGCCATTCTTACCTAGCACCCGATCCCAAATAACAGCGTTGCTCACTCGGGTGTCCCACGATATACGAGCAATGCTTCGAAGACTCCTATGATCGAAAACCAGTAACCTACGAATATCTTCTACTCTCACTGGCCATGTTTCACAGCCATAAAGTAAGACGGAGCGAACTACTGCGCAGTACACCCGTTCTTTGGTCAGCAAACGGATATCTCGCCTACGCCATAAGTGACGCAGGTTGGCAAAAGCCAATCGAGTCTTCTGTATCCGAGCTGAGATTTCGTCAGTCACCAGGCCATCGGCACTGATGAGACTCCCAAGATAAGTGAAGCGGTCTACAAGCTCGAATACTTCACTCCCTATCACTAGTTCAGGTGGCGATGCAACCCAGTCTTGAAGCAACATTTTGCATTTCGAGGGGGAAAACCGCATCCCGAACATGCTTGCATTGTTGCTTAGGGTAGTCAGAAGACTCTGCATTTTGTCAGCATCTTCACCAAGTAGGACAATGTCATCGGCATATTCTAAGTCAATAAGCGAGCCACCTGGTAGAAGGTCTACTTCTGAAAATTCAGACGAGGATAATGTTAACTCTAGGAGCATGTCTATGATAAAATTAAACAAGAATGGAGAAAGTGGACATCCCTGACGGACACCACTTGATGTAGAGAATTCCGGTGACAGTTCGCCATAAGCCCTTACTCGACCAGTGTTCGAGTAAAGAGCTTGTATAAGGTGAATGTGCTTCTGTGGTACACCTTTCAATGACAGACACTGCCACAGAACCTTACGATCAACAGAGTCAAATGCCGCCTTAAGGTCTAGGAAAACAACTATTGTAGGACGCCTAAATGTTTGTCTATGTTCCAGGACCTGTCTGAGTGTGAAGACGTGGTCTATACAGCCACGTCCACGTCGAAAACCAGCCTGATTTTCTCGAGTCTGCTCTTCACGAGCTTTCGTTAAGCGTCGAAGTATTATTGAGGCCAGTATTTTAGATACTATATTAGTTAGACTTATTCCCCTGTGATTGTCACAAGAAGACTTCTGTCCTTTCTTATAGATTGGGACAATCAAGGATTGAGACCAGTCGGATGGGATTACGTCCAGTTCCCAGATTCTACCTAAGATCTCAGTCAACCTAGCTGCTAAAACTGGACCACCATCCTTAAATATCTCAGGGGTCAGTCTATCAGGACCTGCAGCTCGTCCTTGTTTCAGATTTCCTAACGCTTTCTCAACGTCATTAAGACTAGGGGGACTTACGTCGATTCGCCATTCAGGATGACTGGAGATCGTGGGTAACCGAAGAGTGGCTCGTGGCCAGTTGAACTGGTCCCTAAAGTGTTCTGCCCATCGATCCAGTCTCCTGGATTGAGAATGGATAATAAAACCATCCTTTTCTGAAATAGTCTCACTCACATTTGTGTTCTTAATACCAGTTACTTTAATAAGGCGGAAAAGTTTCAAGTGTGGTATGACGACCTGAATTGATGTACGTACGTACGAATTTCTATGTTGTAACTGACTGACATCTAAAAATGATGACAGTAGGTGCACGAGCTACAACCAAGTGGCCTGCACTGGCCATCACCGTCCAAACTAAGTCAATGTTTCTACAAAGTGATGCAGCTTCTTGGTTTGGCCGTCCTACTCCCGAAGTGGTAAATGTCCAGTTAAAAGAAACTTCGATCTACTAATCACAGACTGGAATCTAAGGACGAGTCTGTACGAAAACCCGTTCAAGCGTAAGCTAGTCAACACTATTGTTACATCTGCTTTTGTAGAACATGTAAAGGAGATAATCAAGTAACATTCAGAATCCTAATTTTGATTATTTGACTTGACTGTCCCATTATCACAGAAATGCAACCGATCATGGGTATATGCCAATTCTAGGTAGATGATTACATGTTACTTTTCCTTGCATTCACATTACTCTTGATGACTACGCCTGTTGGGAAAGGAGATATTCAAGCTCTTTTATGTGCGCTAGCCTCAACATGCTGATTTTATTGAGACAAAGTTTTTTTATGAAAACTGAAAATATTTTAACAGTTCAACACAAGAATTATTTAATCGTTCATGTTAGGGACAGAATTACGCAGTCTAGGAGATTTCTCTCGAGAAGCAATAGATATGGAACCACCAAATTGTATAGGAATATATGCGCTACGAAGGCGGCAATGTCTCCGGCTACTAATAGCCATGATTAGAAAACCAATGAATACTGCACGAGCTGTGGTATTTTAATAAAATTTAGGTACCTTGAAATGCCATATTACAAGGCATTTATAACACCGTACATACTATTTGTTCACTAAAAGTTAGAGTACTGTATACAAAAGTCCGAATTTTGTATTTAAAAAGCTTCAAAAGTCTCGATCGAAATGACTCCCACAAATCGTATAGTTTTCATCACAATTAGCTTACTTGACATATACATACTTCTTATCAAACAGGACTGAAAGTGACTTTACTATATTTAAATTTTTTCAAGACGCGTAATTGACACTGTATATACGTTAGTACAAGTCAGACTTGTTTAATGGAACCTTAGGTTTATCTCATTACAGAAAAATTTCTAAGCGCTATAAATGTGACACAAGTGCGAAAGATCCGTGTCAGTGTAATTTGTATTCCATTAGTTGCTCGCGATTAGCGAGCATGTCATAATAAGCATAAAATTGCGAAGAGGTCTAGTTCTGACACTAACTCAATACCACTTTTACGCCACTTTAGTTGCATTTATGTAGTTTTATTACAGTTGGAGTTCATCTTTTCACTGCTGTACGTTTCAGTTTAATTACTTAAATACATACTTCAATGTACTACTACTGAAGTTTACACTCGATCTATTAGTCAGTGGTCACAGATAACAATACGAACTGAAATAAAGATGGAGTATATATATATATAAAAATCTTAAGTCTTGTCACTTACGATGCAGTCATGTTGCTCCGCAATTTATTAAGTGTGGCGCCAGAATCTCAGGCCTTGCAGATTGGATATACCGAAGTGTTTCTTTCTGGCTTCTGATTCTGAGCTTTAGCAGAGTATTCCAGGTATAGTTGAAGGGTTGTCAGAAGAAAAAGAATATAATTTTCATTTTGATAAAGTATATGCTCCAACAAATGCCATATTTCTGAGAGGAGTTATAAGGACTGTGAGAAAGACAAAGTAATACATATAGCAAGTAAACTGCCAAACTCACGCTTAGCGAAAACTAATTTGTTCAGTGCCATTCGGTGAGGTTTTGCCGTGACTGGGGGTCTGCAGGTGACGATGTGGCTTACCACATAATTAATCACCAGTTGAATCTCATCGGTTGCGTTACTTCGGGGAATTTATCAAGTATAACATGAAATCAGTAATAATGCATATATATATATATGTATTGGTGCTTCGGTACATATCTGTTTGAGTGTTAAAACCCATGTACTTGATATTCGACGAAGCATTGATTAACTGCAGTATACGTGAATCGATTAGCAATTCATACAGCTGTAAGGAATCGATACCGAGTTTTTCTATGAGAACATTAGCAGGGATACACGTCCATAGATACTGTCGTCGATTATTCAGGTTGATCGTTAACGGTCGTGTACCGTAGGTAGGAATGACAGAGCCATTCGCATCGCGTGGTCGAAGCATCGTAGCTTGTGATTTGCTGCTACCAAATGATACCACAGAAACTTGGGCACTTATGGCCACGAAGCACCTACCGTTAGTGCATAAATTTTGAACGCAAAATAACCTAACAACCTGAACTGAGGGGGAGGAGACAGGTGAAAATGGAATGACCTGCACTTCGGAGTCTATTATTATAGCTACCCACCATTTCGAAACGTTGTTGTAAGTATAGTATATATTAAAGACATTATTAATAATATTGCAACATTATAAAATGGTGATTATAATGACGCCGAGCAGCCATAGAACTTATGGATAAAAATGGAGCAATGCGCCATGGTGTTGGAGCAAATGAATTGCACCACTGATTTGAATTCTTTAGTAACTTTGGAACGAATAGTGGTGTTACCTCTTCGCATGCAAGTTCAGTGATCAGAGCTGGCAGTTGGATGGAGAGATGAGGATAGGGAGCACACATTTGCCGAACTCAGAGTTTATATCGTCCCTTGCAAATACAGCCAGTAGTAGATTAGGACGATTAGCCAATCGCTCAAAAACAGAACATGATACGAAAGTGAATAGTCATCTACGATCAGGACAAAAGAATTCTTCGAGAGCTTTTGGACCTACATCACACACAGAACTCAGAAAAGTTGTTCATCGTATTAGTAAAGTACAATCTCCTGAAGACTGAATATGTAAGCCTTATAATGTAGAGCTTGTTGAAGTCTATCCTAGTGAGAAGTCAGTATCTGTAGAGGATAAGGTAGCTTTTTCGAGGATAGCGAAGCAAGGAAAAAGCAGAGAGGTTAGGCATCAAGAAGCATCCGAGGAATGTGATGGTAGACGTCCCCTAACTGCTCGAAATGTGAGTTTCACTTGTTTGGCAAGGAATGGGAATTTGTATTCGAGCAACCAGAGGGAAATGGATGTCATGAATAGAAATAAGGACGAATAGGGCTTGACTGTATGGAACGAAGCCTGTGTTCGGAATCCTCCACGTAGGGTAAACTATCTGCCACGATCTAGATCTGATCCTAGGACAGAAAGCGTAAACAGTGACACAGTACTTCAATTTGATGCACGATCAGGATGTATGCGGGCTACTGTATCTAGTTCTATGGAGTATCATAGCACTAGAGGTAAAGGTAATAGTCGATTGGCAAGTCCTGCTGATGTTTGTTCGGAGTCAGGTGACGGACATTCGCACACTAGTCCAAGTGGTCATGGCAATATGGATAGTGTTAGTGTAAGTGGCAGCAGTGGTAGCTTACTCTTAGAGCCTGCACGCCGGCTATCTCGCAATTCGTCAGCAACTGTGGAGTTTGGAAATGTCACAGTGCATAAAAAAAACGATAAGGGTGAGGTGAAACTTCAGGTGTCTATTGACGGCGTGATAGATGAGAATAAAGAGGGTGGAATCGTTGTTGATACGGTCCCCTCAATTGCTGCTACTATTGTAGTTTCATCGAGTACTTCAGTTCAAGATAAGATTGGATGTTTGAGCGTGAAGAAGGTAAGCGATAGTGGCAATGGCATCAGCCACAGTAATGGCACTACTGAGAAGGCTCACAATCAGTGTTCTGTGTGCAGTGAGAATTCATCTTGGTTTTTAATGGATATGCTGTTGTGTTGAATATTCAGCATGTAGAATCTAGTATGGAATTTTCCACCTGTCGCACTCCACCGTCACTGTTTCGGGATCAGCACCATCGGCAGTGACAAGACAGATGAGGTCAATGACATTCCTAGTAAGGGAAGTAGTATTGGTTGAGTTAAGTTGGATATTGCACATGAGTCGAATGGATGTCATGGAAAGAGTACGACTACTTCTATTGCCACGGCTACTAAAGATAATAATCCTGATAATATTCCTGCGGATAATAGTGATCGAGGGACATTGAAAGACACTAATCGAAGTGGGCGAACATTACGTCAACTCACTGCTACCCAAACTGAGAAGCAGAAGAAACGAGATGATGCTACTCTGATCAAGAAGCGTAAACTCCTTACTCGTTCGGATGCTGTGACTAGTAATGAGAATAGTAGTCATCAGAATCGTAGTAGTGGCGGCGGTCGTAGTGGGACAGCAAATGTGTGCAAACCACCAATAATGACCAGTCAATCTAGTTCGTCAAATGGATCATCTAATGTTTTGTCTTCGAACCCTGACGCAATTATATAGGTGATTGAAGATACATAACGTTGTGCAAATGTAACCGTTTCTTCTCCAACGGAGAGTCAGTTTGGTGACGATGAGAAGGTAGTGTCTGTTGGTGACGCCAGTCTCCTGAGTTGTATGATAAAGATATTACTGACGTGCACATGACTTGTATTTCTGAAATGGAACATGAAGAACAACAAGTGAGTTTACCGGTTTCCAATTGTAATACTAATGCTGTTCTTTCATCCAGCGGGACGAAATATACAACAATGGAAGTGCCCCACCCTACTGACGCTAGTGTTCTACGAAATCATTCGTCTTCAGCAGAGAAGTGATACGATGGCCAAACATAGTGACCAATAACTTTGAACGACCATTATAACTGGTATAATGTGGATGAAACAAGAAAGAATTAAAAATAGTTAACCACAAAAAGTCGAAAAATGGTAACTTTACTAAAGTAACTATGCAAAGGTAGGGCTAGGTGGTTACTTAACCGTCTTCAGTGGAGCTGAAGATGGTCTTTATTCAGGTTTTTTCACTAGCATAGTGGAACACGGAGGTTACAATTAAAAGAAAGAATAACTTCAACATTCAAAATACGATGACATAAGACCTAACGGCTACATAAAGCAAGGAAGTGAATACCCACCTTGGGTAAAATGTTTTGATCCCAACTTATATATTTGGCTATCTCGTAACTACCTACCTCATACTTTTAAGTTAGCTACCTCGTAGAACTGAGTTTCATTGGAATATCGGTCAGATCCATTCAGAAAAAAAAAATATACTGGCTTTATGTTTTACCTTATTGCTTTAAGTCAGCGGTGTAGAATTCTTTTTGAATGTTTTGTTTTTTGGAAAATCCCTCCATGTTTACATATTTTTGCTATGACCTGATGGACTTTTTCTCTTGACATTTTTGGTATTTTATTTGATTCCAATTTGAGATTTTATCATTGTATATTGTTATTCTTTCTATATTTGTACTTATATTGAAGTTTTTGTGTTTGCTTCTGAACTGTACATATATTGTTTAAATTTGATATAATATGGCTACCGCCACATTTTTGGATGGACGCGGTGGCTGCTGGACTTAGTGTCACTTACTAGTTATTGTATTGGATACTCTGCGGAGTAATTTAGTCCTGGAAGAAACACAAATACCGTAAGACTCTGTATTTCCATTTTATAATAATAAAGAGACGTTTTCTCCTAGAATTTTGCCCTTTTGATTTGGTCGGGACCCGGATCTAGGAGGAACGTACAGGAGTGTTTCTATTGGAAACAATTAGGACAGCCACTGTCGAAATAAATCTACAGTCTGGTATTTTCTCCGTTCGTGGACTATACCTTGTGGAATTTCATCTTTCGTGGATCATACTTTGGAAATATTTACCAGAACGTATATAATTTGGATCTATTCGGATTATTAAGAATTACAAGGAAACATTTGGAATTTAATCGTTTATCATACTAGACTTCCTTGGAGGAAGAAGTTGGAATACTTATCTTATTTTTGAACTGAATTGTGGAATTACTCTATTTTGTATTGTTACCTTTTTTACTGAACTTTATTTATGATGTCAAACCGAAAAAAATCACACATGAGGACGGTGGAAGAGCTCGACGGATCACAGGGCTCTAGGCAAGTCGTTAGTGATAACTTTTTTATGGGTAACCCACATGTTATGTCTGATATTTATTATTGTAAGTCATCGATAGAGGGTTTAGAATTACCTAAGGTTGAACTCTCATATTTTGATGGAAGGTCTCGCGACTATTTTAAGTTCATACGACAGATAGAGACGTTTATAGAACCTCGAATCAAGGATGATCAAGTGCGTTTATTGTATTTAATTCATTATTGTAAGGGAAAAGCAAAAAATGCGATTGAAGGCTGTATTATTATGGATCCACAATCAGGATATAAGAGAGCTAAGGCCATTCTAAAACAGCTCTTTGGACAGACGCATGTAATAGCGCGAGAAACCTTAGAGGACTTATTTAGAACTGGGAATGTAGAATTTAATGATCCTGAATCATTGACGAACTTGGCTATTAAAATGCAGAATGCTGCTTTAACTTTAGAACAGCTCAATTGCACAACGGAACTTAACTCTATGGCTACTTTAGAACGAATAGTAAGGCTCTTACCTCGTCGAATGCAAGCCCAGTGGGCAGAGCTAGTATTCAAGTGGGACGAAGAGGAGAGAGAG